GCAAATAAATGATTTATGCATTGTAATATTTTGTGCATATGAAAACCCGTGAACTCACCAACTCTTTGTAGTTGACCTTGTTTTATGTTTCATGTTTTTCAGGATTTAAGTAAGAAATGAAGTTTTTGGGAGCATATTTGTGGTAAGACCGATTAAGTTCGCGTTTGATTTTTGTATAAGAAGTACACTATTCCATTTTGGTTATTGATGTTAAACTTGTTTTATTTTGTAACATTTGAAAGGTGTTATTTATTAACTGTTGTTATGACTCGCTTACCTGTTACATCTCGTGTTTCCGCTTTAACGGGGTGTGACATTATGCAATACATACAACTTGTCGCATTATAAGGATTCGATAACCCAATCTTGTCGCATCTCAAGGATGCAATAAAACAACTCTTCGCATCACAAGGATGCAATAAATACCTTTTTTGCATCACAAGGATGCAATAACATCATCTCATCTCATCACATAAATGCGATAAATCAAATTCGCCGCATCATGAAGATGCGATAATAGTTCCACATGATCAAAATCACATTTGTACATACAAAAGATTTTGTCACCCTTATCCCATTATACGTCTTTCCTGATTATGCGACCCTTATCCCAATATACGTCTCACCTGATTATACCACTCTTATCTCAAAATACGTTTCTCCTGATTATGTAATCCTTATTCCAACAAGTTGATAATCATATATCAAAACACGAAATTATGCTAAAAATAGCATATAACATAATAAAAACCCAAGTATGAAACCTTACGGTTTCTTCACCAAAAACATGTTAAATAATGTTTCTAAAAGTAAAACTCACTTTGAATCACAATTAATCGAAGGCTTTAAAACAACAATGAAAAATAAATGAAATCACGAAAGTAGATTCTTCTTCTTTGGTTTCTATTTGCTTGAACCCATTAGCTAAAACACCCACACCAACTTTTGTTTCTTTTTTTTCACTAATCCCCAAAGAAAAGAAACAAATAATTTGGTCCCGGAATTCAATCAATCGAATAAATTGGGATATTTGGTTCTCATTTCTGACTCTGGTTCCAGTTAGCCTTCTGCTTTTTATGAAACCGCCACTGGACTTTCACTAGACTAATTTCTTTATTTCTCAACACCTTAATCTTTCGGTCAGTGACAGCTTCTGGGTTTCCACAAAGTTCAATTTTTTCATCAATCTAAATATCAGGTAGTGGTACAATCATATTTGAATCAGCCAAACACTTTTGCAAATTCGAAACATGGAATGTGTTATGTATAGGGTTGAGTTCTTCTAGAAACTCTAACTGATACACTACTGTACCATTCTGTTATGTGAGCAAGTTTTCTTTGGTAGAGTTGGTTCGTGCGCAAGACTTTTATTCCACCCTATACCCAAGCTCAAATTCTATTAGTGTCATTTTCTTAGTTAAATTGTGCCACCGTTTGAAATTTTTTATCTATATTTGTTTCTTATAGTCAAATGGTGCCAGCGTTTGAATTCGTTTCCCTCATATTAGTAGGGATGGCAAAAAAAAACCCGAAACCGACGGTGAAAACCGAACAATTCGGGGACCTCTTAACGGGTGTGGGACGGAGATTGGGGATTATATCGGGGACGGGGACGGGGACGGGAACGGGGACGGTACTCACCGACCCAGATCGGCCCGATAGTATATATAATATATTTAAAATTTATAAATTACAATTTGATAAATGATACTATGATAGTCCAAACTCCAAAGTCCAAACCAAAACATATTTCTTAGGCCTAAAAGCCCAACTTATTAATGGACCACCCCAACAACAATACAACATCAACCCACGTCCCACAACCCTTGACTTCTCCTTCTAATCGACATCGCCTCAATCCTCATTCGCCTGCCTCCATCCTCCGCCCTCCTTCTTGACTCTCCCGACTGAGCCGACTCCCGCACGACACCAGTCACCCCGCACGACACCAGTTACGACAGCCGCACCAGTCACCACTCACTGCCCTACTCTCGCCGGCCGCCGCTCGCACTCGCCGCCGCTGTATCGCCGTTGTATCGCTCACGCCGGCGTTGTATCGCCGGCGCTGTCTCTTGCTCTCTCCTGCTGTAATTGATAGCGATGTATCGCCGGCGCTGTCTCTTGCTCTCTCCTACTCGCCAGCGCTGTATCGGGTTCGGGTTCGGGTAAAACCAATGGGTAACGGTTATTCTGCTCTTAACGGGTTACCAACGGGGATCGGGGAAACCGCAGGGACCCAATGGGAATCCCCGATAAGATCCCCGACGGGGATCGGGACGGTTACAGGGATGGTTATGGTTATCAGTTTCGGGGACGGGGACTCTAAAAATCAGCCCGAACCCTGCCCGTTGCCATTCCTACATATTAGTTTCTTATAGTCAAATGGTATCACAGTTTGAAAAAAATTATGGTACTATTCCTGATAATTAACCAGTGGGTTCATGGGGAAAGAGGCGGTCGGAGATGAAGATCACACGAGGAGGATGGAGCCGTTAAGGAAGAGGGACCACAATACATTATATTAATAGAATATATTTTTATTTTCTTAAGAGAACGAGAGAAAAAAGGTTCAAGACGAAAAACACCATGTTGCCCCACTTAATGGAGTTAAGGTTAATAGAATTAGATGTATGGATCCAATTAATAATAAAGTGAAACCAAGGTGATCATAAATGTAATTATTTTATATGGAGACCCAAACCATAACTTCGATATAATCATAGGACCAATATCTAAACTTTACTTCTAAATTTATTTGAATCATGTTCCCATCATTACTTTGATTATGTGTATTCATGTGATTGATGGATAAGAACATGATGTAAGAATTTGGGACATAAGATTTTTATCTGTTTGTTGTAATCAATTTTTTCTTAAACATTTCTTAAAGGGGCATTCGTGTATATATAACATATGTTACAAGATCAATAAATTATCGGTCAAAATATGTATAAAATATGACTAAATAATATAAGATCTTTATTTCACTAAAGAGAGATCAAGTCGACGATTCTTCTACTTTTATACATTTTGCCTAATAAATGAAAACCTTACAATAAAATTATGTAAAATAAACAATTACATGTACATTTGAGTAAATAACCTTTGTAGTTTGTTAAAATTGCTATTTTAATTTCATTTTTGTGTTTTCGAAGTTATGATTTTCATTCTTATGATTTCTCGTCTATAGTTCTTTTTATTTTATTACTTTTTTTTTATTGAGGAGATGATCCTTAAAGGTAATTAATATGAGATAAATTCCAAAAAGATCTATATATATATAATTTTATAATTTATGGTTCATTATTATTTTTATTCTTTATACTTAAAGATAAAGTTAACTTCAGAGAAAAATAACAAATGAATTTCAGATCATATAAATGAAAAGCTACAATTTTGAAACTATATAAACAAAAATCACAATTATCAGCAAACCATAAAAATATTAAAAACATAACTTAGGGGCCGTTTACCTAAATGCTTACCCGGTAAGTGTTTACCGATAGGATTCAACATTATAATTTATTTTGATACTTAAGATTTTAGTACATCAAAACATATCGAACGCAACAAGTTACTAGGTAAGTGCTTACCTGGGTAAGAGTTGTCATCCTTACTTACCGGGTAAGACTCTCTATTCTTTTTATTAGTATTACCCGGTAAGATTCTTGGACATTCTCATGTTCATCAGATAAGGAAATTTATCCGATAAACACTTACTTAGTAAACGACCCCTTACTGAAAATATTACTTGCATGATAAACATTCTCTTCTGCTAAATGTTCAAGTGATATAGTCCAGTTGGCTGTCAGCACCTGCTTCTGACACGTAGACATTCTATAGTGACACGTATACATGTGGTGGTGGATCTATGCAACTCGGTCTTGCATTCTACAAATTCAAAGCTAACCTGCCACGTACACCGTCACATGTTCCTTGTCATCCTATAAATTCTAATCCCGCCATCATACCTCATACCATTAAAATTCTATCACTTTCTGAGTTCCAAATTTCGATTTGCATCAATGGCGAGTGGCGGTCGGCAGTTCCCACCACAGAAACAAGAAACGCAACCAGGGAAAGAACATATCATGGATCCCACCCCACAGTTCATCAACCCTAATTACAAATCTGCTGATAAACTCAGAGTAAGAATTGCTTTGATTAGTTTCCTCTTCTTTTGCAGGTTATGATCATCTTGATGTTTTTATCTTTATAATCTTAGAAAACAAGATGACATTTTTGCGATGTTGGTTTTGTGGGTTGTTAAGATTCTTGTTGCTGGATCTTAAAAAAAGAAAAAGGAGGAGGAATTGATGTTTTTTGGTGTATGCAGGGAAAGGTGGCGCTGGTGACCGGAGGAGATTCCGGCATAGGAAGGGCGGTCTGCTATTGCTTTGCTAGAGAAGGAGCAACGGTTGCATTTACCTACGTGAAAGGCCAAGAAGACAAAGATGCAGCAGACACCTTGAAGATGATTTATGAGTCGAAAACCAAAGATTCGAAGGAACCGATTGCGATCCCTGCGGATTTAGGGTTTGATGCCAATTGTAAATCGGTGGTGGATCAAGTCGTAGGAAAATACGGCGTTATCGACATCTTGGTGAACAACGCAGCTGAGCAGTATATGTGTAGGACCGTAGAAGAAATCGATGAAAATTGGCTTGATCGAGTGTTTAGGACCAATATTTACTCCCACTTTTTCTTAACAAGGTAAAAAGATCAACATTTTCTTCACGAATTAGCGGAAGTACAACTCCCAAATACATGTTCTGGTGCATTTACCGTATACATATATACATGCACATGCATAACAAATGCGTGTGTGTATATATATATATTAGATGGGTTGGGTTCCAGTGGGTGGGTGTGTGGGTGTATATATATATATGTATATATATATATTATATGGGTTGGGTTTAGGTGGGTAGGAAAGCGCGAAGATGAGAAATATATGAAGATGAGAAATATATGAAGAGATCATCATCTTTAGATTGGTGAATTACATGGAGATATACACGATCAATCTTTGTATCAAGCATGATTTATGGATGGATTTGAGATTAAAGATCGTTAAGTCTAGATCCTTCGTATGATTCTCATTCTGCTCCTGCCATGTTAGATTAAGATGATTTAACATACACAAAATGGTTAGCATCGGAAGTGAAGCGCAACAAATTAATATGAAACGAAGACAATTTTGATATCTTTAATTTGACATCCATACGCATATATTTTGTTCCATCTTTCTTCCATGGTTTTTCCGTTATTTTCTTGGGTTCTCTTCACTTTCTGTGTATAGGCATGCACTAAAGAACATGCCGGAAGGAAGTAGCATCATCAACACGACATCGGTTAATGCCTACAAAGGCCATGCCTCTTTGCTGGATTATACATCAACCAAGGGAGCGATCGTGGCCTTCATTAGAGGTTTAGCTTTACAGCTGGCACCGAAAAACATTCGAGTGAACGGTGTGGCACCGGGTCCAGTGTGGACTCCGCTGATACCAGCATCTTTTAACGAAGAGAAGACATCGAAATTTGGGTCGGAATGCCCAATGGGTAGAGCAGGTCAGCCTTATGAGATCGCACCATCGTTTGTGTTTCTGGCATCGGAGGACTCTTCATACTATACAGGCCAAGTGCTCCACCCTAACGGTATATTTTTGGTTTCTACTGGAGAGTTTTTGAGCAATTTTAATTGTGGGATATATTTGAAGTGTATATTTGGAACTTTAATTTGCAGGTGGAATGATTGTGAATGCTTGAAAGAAGGTACTGTGGATCATATATGGACTCGTGGGTTGCTGGTTAAAAAACTGAAGTTGATATATAAATGTGCAAGTGTAGTGCGATGTACTTGTTACGATATATGTAGTTATGTACATATTTCATGAATAAGATAGTGTTTCTGGCCCTTCACATTTGGAACCAACCAATTCACAAATTCGTTAACTTTAGTAATATTTCATGTATGTATGTGTAAAATCAGGTTTAAACGAGAATCATGACCAACACAAGTGAATGTTTTATGTCACCAAGGTTCCGTGATTAACTTACGATAATGACAATTGTGTCCGACTGCTACTTTAGTCATTAAATATCTCTCTAAACTGTTATTAGTTGGGTTTAAAGATAACAGCCGTTAACTTATATTAGTTGTATAGAAAAAAAATGGTCATTAATTAAGAAAATTAAAGAATGTCCATTTGTAATCTATAGTATATTATAAAGCATTTGATAAAAAATTTTAAAAATTATTTTTTATATGTAAAAATATTGTTTAAAAATCATTTTTATACGTAAAGTAATGTTTATTAATACATATTATTTAAAACTTAAGATTACAAGTAGATTGTGTGTAAGTATAATTTATTAAAGCTTCATGTCTGAATTCGTGTAACTAACAGTAAGATAAATAAAATTAAATATATAATAAATATCTCATTTTAAATATAAAAAATCTAAAATATAATTAAAATAATCATTGAGTTATAACATAATACGTAATTATTAT